CACTGAACTCTACATTTAACATGACCTTTCTTGACCTACTACCTAGCTATAGATCAGTCTGGAAACCAAGTTGTCCACTCACTGCTCTAGCTGATCAAAAATGGGAAAAATGTAATGAAGTGGCAAGAGGCTTTAGTTGTGCAAAGCAAGTTACCAAGTCAAACTTGCCTTTGAAAGGCCAGCATTCCACAGCCAGCTTTGGATAGAAACCTAAATGGACATTGCTGGCTTAAGCCCTAGATGTCTCTTTTAACATCCCCTAATGATGTTTAATGTCTAATTTACCTGCTGGTCTATTCCTGTCATGAAAGCAGGAAGTGGACTCACATGGTTACCACTGTAGGACCAGGACCTAGAACAGTACTGGGCACTCAGCAAGCACTCAATAAAGATTTGTCTTCTGGCTGACTGCAGGCTGGAAACAGGGCAAATGACGAAGGAAGAAGGGAAAGATTTTATCTGTCGTAGATCCAAGGGAGCAGGACGGAAATTAGAGATGCAATTACAAAGAGGCCCCTCACTGCCACGAAAGGCTGGCAGTGGCACATGCTCCATCCTAACTGGGCACCGACATGCAGAGTCAAGTTAAAGCCCTTGCTGGAAGTCAGAAGCCTTGGGCTGGTGTTCTGGAAGTTTAATATCACAGCTATACTGATGACGCCACCATTTCTCCATTTCTCAACAACTTTGATGCCAGCTCACTTTCTTTAATCTCATCAGAAAAATAAATGATTTCACCATAGCAGCCCTCTCAACACAGCAGAGAAGGAAGCCCATTCCAAAATGGGCCAGATTTGGTATTACCTCAGTCTTGATGCTTTGCACAAATATCACATTTTCAAAAGTCTGGCTGAGGCACAATGAATTAAATGGAAAACACTCAGCAGAAAGGCAGGGAATTTGGGTTCCAGTTTCAGCTTTGCTACTAAATTTTTGTCCTTGTCATTCTACTGTTCTGGGCCTTATTTTCGACACCTGTAAAATGAGTCAGACTGGTACCCACCTTTCAGAACTAAGATTACACAGTCCCCTCAGGGCTCATCTCTAACAGTCACCTCCCTGATGTCCTTCAATGTCACTGTCCTCCAGCTACCAATGCAAATCCCACCCTCACTCCTTCATTGTGGCCTCATCACATGGAAAAACCCATTCTCTAACATTCATCAACTTGAAACCGTGACTTGTATTTAAGCACTTGTTTATACTACTCAGAATTTGTACATGGGTGTGTTCATGGGTATGTTTTATTCCTCCTCTGTAGAGTGTAAACTCCTTAGGGAAGAAGACCAAGAATTTTATGTCCCACACACACACCTAGCACAGTGTTGGGCACATCCCAGGTGCTCAGTCAGGGCTTTTCAATCTTAACAGCAGATGAGTGTGCAGGTAAATTCAGGATTACTAGAATACTGATGTTCTCCAAACGCCAGGTGACCAAGTCAACCAGGAATCAGCTACAACCCACACTTTCTTATTAAGGGATACCTTACTGCAAGGTTGACCAGGATTGATTTACCTGATTACGGGTAGTGATGCCCTACAAGCTCTGAATACTCTTGAATAAGTAAATACAGTACCTGTTTCCATAGGACTTTTAAAGTTGCACAAACTTTATGAAGACAGTGGGCAGTTTCTTTCTTGGACCTGCACTCTAGAAATAGAGATGCTTCTCTGCAGAGGTACAATGAGACTGAGGACAAATGTACAGAAAATTGCCACTACAACCTCCTCTGCTGCAGGGCACCTAGGTGACTTCTATAACCCAAGCCGATTCAGCCCATAGATGGCCTCAGGGCAGAATTAGCCCTCGAGTCTTTTATTTCAGTTTGAAAGAAAGGATTTTAAAGTTGAGGGAAAATCCATAAGCAAGAGAGCCTTATGTGAATGTCAAATACTAGATGTATGCTTTTTTTTTTTTAACCAAATCTACCATCTGTGTCTTGAAGGATCCCCAGAGTTTATATCAGTTTCAAATGGGACTGTAACAACCTACTCTTTCTCACAAATGGGCTTTGAGAGCTCATTTGGAGGGCTTTAGCAAGGGGGGCGCAGCTCCTTACAGCTCCTGATATGTTCACTGGCCAAGTAGGGTCTTCCATGTGTGAAAGGTCACCTCCTTGGTGGAAAGCACAGCTCTGAGGGAGTCGTGAGGAAGGCAGGGCATGGCCCAGTTGGGCAGATCTGGTCAAATCACTCTGGCTTCAACAATGTGGCAGATGGGCAGCTGGCTCACTCTGCTCCCCAATTTGGGGTGGGGGAGCTGGACACTGTAGCCACTGAGGCTGCTGGCCGTAGTCGCTGTCTCAGACCAAGAGCTCCACTGTCTTTCCTGAAAAGAAGACTCTTTCAGCCCTATTTTATGCACAGAAAGAGTGATTATTTGAAGCTTGAATATTGAAACTGCTGGGGCAGGCCACATGAAGGCTCAAAAAAATGAGGACTTTGTTTATTTTATGTTTAAAAGTTTAAGGCAGTTTCACTGAATTTTCATTTAAAGTTTTTTTTTTTTAATGTCATTGCTTTTCTTTCCTGGCAGTACAAAAATGTCATACTAAAAATCAACTCTTAACTTACCTTCAGATACAAACCCAAAAATGTGAATGAAATTATATTGTATAAGGACATTAACTGAGACATTATTTTTAATACCAGGAAAATGGAACAAAACCATGTATTCATCAGTAGCAAGCTGATTAGAATATATGTGTCATGATTCCACTTGGGAAACACAGTAACTCTATATGTGCATATGAAGTACACAGGAAGGGTCCAGAACTGAACTAACAGTGTGGCTGTCTCCAGAGGATGCAGTGGTGGGGTGCTTGGAGAGGAGGGAGGACTTTTAACACATACAATTTAACTCTGTAAAAATTTTTTTTTAAACAAGTATGTTTTGTTCTTCAATTGGTCCTCAGGTGACAGCACTGGATTAACCATATATAACATATTATCACGACTGATCCATGCACAGCCCGCTTTTATGTAAGTTACTTATTTATTTTTAATAATAAAGCACCCTTGAACACACAACCAAAAATAAAAGTTATATCCTTGATAATAACCTGGGTCTAACCATTTGACCCTCCATGCCATCATATTATTTTCCCATACTCCAGGCAATCACCACCCCAAATCCCATCTCATTATTACTTGTGTTATTAATAAATAAAACACAACAAATAAGTAAATGCACACATTTAATCTGCCTGCCTTTAAATTCACTGCTCTTGAGTCAAACAGAAATATCACTAATTTAATTCTAGGCTTTTCCCTGCACATAGAGTGACCCCACTCTAACTTCGCACCAGGAAATACCAGAAGCCAACAGAGAAGCATTTTTCAACAGAGATCATTTCCCTGGGAGAAAAGTAAATCAGTGGCCATTTCAAATCCAGCCTCACTACATGATCAAAAAAAATGTCTAGTTGAGCAGAGCAGGCTTTCCCCCCAGGTAGACAGTAAGCCTTTAGTAACAGCGAGTGATGATCTCTTTAATATATAGAGCTTCTCAGCCTCTTACCAAATGGAGGAAGCTTTAATTACTACATTTTAATAGACAACACAAGATAAAAGAGTGCCAGAGGGCAAAGAAAGTATGAAATTAGGTCAACCTAACAGAACTCAAATTATTTAAAACCTTTGTTTTATGCTGTTTTAGTCAATTTTTATGTCCTTTGATTCTATGAATTCTGAGCCTCCATTTAAAATTAAATCCAACATTCTACATGAAGAATAACTGCATTGTTACATATACTTTTCCAGTTTGGGTTGAATCCATACGTACTGATACGGAAATGCTTATCCAAGTATGATAATTTTAAAAGTAACAGCTTCTCTGATCACGTGTAACTTGTGAAATCCAGTGTCAACTCTTTGCAAGCAGGCATGACAGTCTAGTATTTTACAAAAAGAAAATTCTCAAACTTAAATCATAAGAGTATGTCAATCTCAGAAGCTTCTGCTGGGTTTCCTAATGTCTGCTTCTTCCAAATAAAAATTAGATTCTCAGCTATCGACATTTAGTTAACACAAACAGGTAATCCCAAATGGCAAAGAAGCCAAAATTATTTTTAACTAGAGTATATTTTTATACTTGAATAAGACAGCATCACATGTTCTTGATTTTATTACATGGAGACTGTCAACAGACAGAAAGGGCCCCCAGCACCCTCTTTCTGTCTTCCCATTCAATTCCCTGATGCCAGGAATGGATCCCACCATGGCCAGACCTCACTACCCTTCTCTTTAAAAACATTGTCTGTGGTTGACAGTTTCCGAGGTGAGAAGGGTATTTTGATCTTCCTGTTGCTGAGCTGGAGACTATACACAGAGAGGGTAAATAATATTAAAAGCCTTGTGCTGTCTCCATTCAACTGTATCAATGAGAGATGCAGCCAAAGTACCTGCAAGTTATTAAAACCAAACCTTGCTTAACATTCGAGTGTAACTTGGTGGGGGGTGGTGGGAGGTGCCTAAAGCAATGGGATTAGCATCCCGTTTCACCCACTTACTCTTCTTTCCTGAGAAGCTCCTCCTCGGATTCCGTCAGGCGTTGTCTCAGCGCTGCGATCATCTCCACGGCCACATCCACCTGTCTATTCAGGGCCTGCTCTCGTCTCTGAACTTCTTGCTTTTTCTGAGTCAGCTGTACAAAAGCCGCCCGAACTTCCAACAGTTCGGCAGTTTTCTGGGCCAGCTCTCTGGTGAGTTTATCGATTCTCTTCTCAATGGTCCTGTCCACGGCCTCGACCATCCGATTGAATTTTTCTCTGACATGTGCCTCGAAAGCTGCTTTGGTCTCTGAGGTGGGAAGTCCAGGGGTGGACCTTGGCCCATCCAGTGAGTCTGCACGTAGGTCCACCGTAGTGTACGTCTGCACGTAGGACACAGGCCTCTCTGCCACCACCTCAAAGGGCTTCCTGTCCTTGGAGTGTTCATGTGAAATGCTATACAAGTTAACATAGCTCGGTTTCTGCTTCACTATGTTGCCACAGCTCTGCAGTTTTCCCTGTTTCAGGGGTTCTGAGGAAGTGACTAGGTCTGTGTCTCTGAGGGATGGAAAGAGACTGCATTTTGTCAAGAGGGTTCTTTCCTGGTAGCTGTGACTGAATTCCAGATGGGCCCTCAATGAGGACAGGCTTCTAAATCTGGTATGGTCCCCACACCTCGGGCAGCGGAATGGTAGGCACACAGCGACATTCTCAAAGGACTCCTGCCAGGGGTATCTGCTTTCCTCAAAAGCCTTCTGTTGCATTACTCTAAAAGTCCTGGGCAGGGGAGAATAAAATAGTTAGTTTGTATGTCTGTTTGAAAAACTGCTACTGAAATGATTGTTGCTTATCGTCTCCATGAGGACAAAGGCTTTTAAATTCCAAATGACTTTTGCATATAATATATTATGTTAAAATTGAAACCTATAACCCAAGGACCAAATCCAGCCACATCTACTCATTTCCATATTGCCTACTGCTGCTTTTGCACTAAATGGTAGAGGTGAGTAGTTGAGAGCTCTATGGCCAGCGAAGCCAAAACTACTTACTACTTGGCCTTTACAGAAAAGTTTGTCAACCCTTGTCTATGATAAAAAAAAAAGAATAAAATTTTAAAAGGTGAAACATTCCCTTTTCACAGGTGAGAAAACTGGAGCAAGGAGGTAAAGTAATTAATCCAAGGCCAGATGGAAAGTGTCAGATTCCAAAGTGGAATTCAAGTTTCCTGACCTCCTGAATTTAGTACACTAACTGCAAAACCGTGCCCTATTTTACTGACAACCCTGATAAGCATGAATACAAAAAGAGAGAGAAAAACTCACATGAATGTGATGTCAAAACAGGTCCTAAGAGAGCAAGCTCAGCGATCTTCCCTCAAGTGTAGGAAAGCTGTTACTCACACTAGGTGCAGTGGCATGAAGCACATAGTTAGCTGGAAATTTTTCAACCTGAGATTTTTGCCCTTAATTTTGTTTTCTACTTATTGTTGTGATGATTTAAATCAAAGTGTTATCATCATAATCATGCCCCCCTCCACATACTCCAGATTTACTGAAATTTGGGGATCCAGTGTGTCAAATACTGTTTGACCTAAGTGGGACCATGGACAAAATTTTATTAAGATAGAGTGTTCTGGCTGGATTTGTCTTGTCTCTGATCTTGTTTTAACACAACCTCTAGAGATGGCCAAAGTTTGAGCCAGGTAAGTATTAGCATAACTCTTAGTAACAGGAAATTCTTATTTCCTTGTAGGAATTTATTATCTTAGCCCTAGCAACAGATGACTGCGAGCAACCCAATTCTACAAGCAGCACGTATCTATCCCCCTCAGCAACGATTTCTACTTAAACATAATAAGCACTGGGCCCCCAAAACAGGTAGCAAAGGGTCTAGGCTTAAAAGTGTTGTTACTTCTCCCTCAACCTCTTCAAAAGCAGAGGTGCCAATCGCGTCCCTACACAGCTAGGCAAAGCTTCCAGGTAAAGATGCCTCTGGCCCCTAGGGAGGAGAACCTCTTCCTGTGCTACAGCGGGCTGTTTAACTACGGGTTTTCTGGGGATTCCAGCCCTGACATAAGAGGCCAACCCTGCCCAGAAACGCAGGCCAGAGGTGAAAGAAGGGGAAGTAGCAATGCTAGGGAGCAATAGGGAAGGGGTGGCATCCCTGCAAGGGGAAATGGGTAACCACGCACTCCGGGAGTAAGCAAGCTTTCAAGGGCCCAGCGTAAGCCCCAGTCCACAGACTGACGGAAAAGCCAAAATTTCTTCTGCCTGAGCAGGGCTGGCAGGCAGTGACCCTCCTCGGGGGTCCCCCTTTCCCCGCCCCCGCTCCGCGGCGTGCCAGCGGGCCGGTGCCAGAGTGGATACGTGCGCACACGAGTTCCTGCAGGCGGGGGCCGAGAAGCCCAACTCCCCGCAGTGGTGCGGGGACCGGACCTCCTGTCCAGCCTGGCCAGCCCCCTCTCCGCGCCCCCTGGGCCGGGCCGCGGGCGCAGATGCCCACTTACCCGACTTGTTGCTGCAGCTGCAGCTGCCGCTGCCGCTGCCGCCGCGACGGTGCTACTGCTGCGGGAGTGAAGCGGTTTTC